TGTAGTGTGGTGGAGGGAACAGTTGGGTGGTGCTGTTTCTGTGTGAATAGTTCACCTCTTCTTGTACCCTCTGTCAGTATTGTTGTTGTACTGTTTGTTCCCTTGTCTCATTGCTGTTTCTAGCACATTGCTGTTCTCTCAACCCATGCTCTTTGCAGGGCAGAGGGAGGGGGAGGCTGGGAGCAAGAGAGCAGGGCATGGATTCAGTGGGAGAATAAAAATTAAACTGGAGAATACCAGTCCTAAATGAGGACAACAAAGTTGCTCAAAGTCTGATCTCCAAACTGCCCTTGAACACTTCCAGGGATGAAGGAGCCACAACTTGGCAACCTGGGCAACCTGTTCCAGTGCCCCACCACCTGTGATAATCTGTAGATAGCTGACAAAGAACAGGTGCAAAATACTTTATTTAAAGTCATTTCCAATTCAGCAGGAAAACTTCTATTTTCCTTCTTTCTTCTTTTTACAAATAGTTGGGGGTGTCATTTTATAATAATTTTATGCTTTTATATAATTCCTTTTTTGAAGCTGTTAAGCAGTCTACAAATTATTCTTTACAAAATAATTATTATTTACAAAATAATTTAGAGTTGTTAACCTACAAGAACATAATTTGCCAAGCAAACAAGTTTCTCTATTGAGGCCATCTACATGTAAATTGCTAAGGCTGATGAGAACATCTGAGCTGTTGGAGAGGCCACTGGGGCCTATATGAGCCTGACATATCCCAGGAAAATGCCACATATCACATGAATATAGGGAGAGAAAGCTGCTTTTAGATGCATAGATATATAAAACTATATGCTATAACAACTGTGCTTGGGGCAAATCCTCTTAAATTAACAGAAAAATAAATCACTTAACTCAAATACTGGTGCTAAATATACATTTCTAAATGAGAGCATAATAATGTATTTTTTCTAGTAACTCCACAGCTTGTTACTTTAACTAACTTACAACTAGTAATTTTCCATAACTAATTTGAATGTTCATGGAATTCCATATTAGTTCAATTTTTTTTCCACCATTTACTTTTCTAGAATACATCAAATGAGCAACAGAGCTGTGAGTAGTCTGGAGCAGTAGACTGATGAGGAATGCTGAGGGAGCTGGGGGTGTTCAGCCTAGACAAAAGGATGGGGGGACATAGTTTAGTTGTGGACTTGGCAGTACTGAGTTAACAGTTGAACTTGATGATACTAAAGGGCTTCTTCTAAATGATTCTATTATTCTATTAAAAAATGGCGATAATTATGAATACATATATTGTATATTTTAATGCAAACTTGTGAAGGAATGTTTGTCATTTATACAAGTTTAATGACTAAAATACCACTGACTCAACAAACTACAGTGTAGTTTACATTTACACTTGACTTGTAAGAGACTGCTTCAAAAGACCAAATAAGAGACATTTAGAAAAACTGTTAAGAGTAAGAAAAATAATTCTTCCTTGCTCTGAGACAATTCTTTGTTGTTCTGAGAATGAATAGTTGTAATGGAAACAAGAGGAAAAAGTCTTTATAGTGTTTGTATATTTACCCTTGGAATTGTGTCACTGTAGATTTAATAAAAGTCATCTAAAGCTTTGGCCTTCCAGTAGCATTGAATTTCAGTGCTCTATATCTCTCTTATATATAGATATACAGATATGTGTATACATATATGCACTAAAATAAAATAGAAATAAAGTCTAAATAAATCAGTTACTTTTACAGGTGTTTTGGGAAAATTATAAAAAGGACTAAGAAACCAACCTGAATAAGCATCCAGCTGAACTGGCAGAGGTAAAGGTAATGGGTAACAGACGCGAGGGCAAAGCAGCTTTCCTCTGAGATATGCTGGCTCATGTAAGCAGAGGCCAGAAATGAAACCTGCCAGGGAAAAAAAGAATACATGCATATTGGAATTAAGCAGAATTAATTTAATATTAACAATAAGGGGAAAAAAATAGTTTGGAAGTAAAACATACACTAAATTATTATTCCAGAGACTCAGGAAATATATCTTGAATATCTTGGACATTTAATATTCACCCAAAAGAAGTTACGCTTAAGCACTGTCAACCCCTAAAGCAGCTGGATTTGCTGAAGCCTTAGTTGACAAGCTGTGGTCTTACACCTAGGTATATTTTTGGCTGGAATGGAAAAGAATATTGATACTGCACTGATGTTCTTGTTGTTGCTAGATAATGTTTATCTGAAGTCTAGGGCTTTTTTAATTTTCCATGCTCTCCCAGATAGCAGGTGCTATACCACTCTTAAGTTTTTGTTTTTTTTTTTTTTACAAATCTGACACCTGAGACTATGCTATGGGCAAGGGTCAAGCTTGAAGAATGAAGAAGCACACCTGAGAGGGAGGGTATGTGTGGGTAAAGAGTCAGGAGAGGCACCCATGGGCCCTCTGGAGCTGCCTGCTGTGACGGTACCCCAGTCCCAGCAGTGACAGTCTCAGGTGGCACATGTGTAACCCCTTAAGTGGTGTGAGAATGTTCAGGCAGTGGCCTCTCCACACACTGTCCCCTTATATGACAAGACTATGAGAGACTAAATATTTATTGTTTAAAATTGTTCCTATGCAACATTAGACAGGTTTTGCAATTGGGGTGCAGATTTTCCTGTATAAGACTAAGAGAGATGTTATCTTCTGATTTTAATAAATCCAGCTATTTTATCAAGTAAACAAACAAACTCGAGGCATTTACTGTCTTCAGGCTGTCAGACTTGTAGGAATATAATACATCAGCCCCTAAGATAGGGGCAATATCTTGTCCAATACTGGACAAAAGGGAAGAAGCAACTATTCCTTTGTCTAATACCATACCAGGATTTCACATAAACAAGGCAGTTACAATTTGGGTTTTTTCCACAGATATGCCAAATGTCAAAGGACTATATGTTGGCTGGATAAGTAGCCAATGCATTGTCTAAGGAACAAAGGTATTCCAACTCTGACTGCAAGGAATGAAGCTAGACAATTTCAACATAGCATTTTAAATTAAAACACAACTCAGAAACCTTAAGCTCTGTCTTCTGTAAATTTCTTTACAGAAGAAATGGCTCTACAAGCAAAATTCATAAAAGACTTAAAGTGTTCACATAAAGAAAGGTTCTACTCATCCACTGTGCTGATAATTTTCTCTTTGCCTGACAAGAAGTACTACTTTTTTGACCAACAGCCCATTGACTTGTTAGTACAGAAAGTAATGGGCTCTGGAGACAGATTTTATGTACAGTAGATGGGATAGGTGAGAAAGTTAAAGTAAATTAAGTGATTTGGGATACATGTGGACACTGTATTCACAACAAAATACTCATATGGTACTGAGTAACCCTTACACAGTCTCTTTATCATAAAAATACCCTTATAAAGACAGTATAATGTTACCTCACCATGAAATTGAAGAATAACAATGAACAACTGGGGAAGAAGTGGACTAAAAATAATTATGAGAAGCATTTCAAAATCTAAAGACAAAAAATGCATGTTCAATATTTTATGTGGCATTTATCAGCTTCTGCTGGGAACTGGCATCTAAATCATGGCCACATAATCATTCAGTTATTAAGAGGTTAACACACAGATTTGTAAGGACTAGTCTTTGTGAAATTCAGACACTGCTGAAAGAAATCCCATCATCTGGAGTAGGTTACACACAATTGAAATATGTCTGCAATAGCTGCCATCCATAAGGGATAAAAAAGAAGTGTTTGTGGAAACAACCCCACAGTACCAGCTCTCTCGAACACTACCAATAGTAATTTGTGTAAGACTTGAACAAATACTGCCTACTGACAATAAGCATCTGGGTGGAAAGGCTTTATAATCTTTTGCTCTCTGAAGGTTTGTGTATATGTCAAGGACAGACTGCTAGGCTAGAGTCAAATAGAGGATGCAAACACAAAAGCAGACTGATGGAGTCAGTCTTTTGGACTGAATGTTGGCTTGAAAGCATTTTGCATTTATAACAAAGAAACACTCCTAACACTCTCCTGTGCTTCAAGAAAAATAAGGTTTTGCATATTAAAAAAAAGGAGTATATCACTATATCAAAAGTTTTCCAATTAAAACAATGCAAAGAGTCTAAATATGTGCTAAAAGCGTATCTTTGTCTGTTCTTAAAGGAACAAGACAGCAATGGCTGGAGTAATCCCTCAGCTAAGAATTCACTGTACTTAGTGGCCTTAGAGTATTTTAGAAAAAAAAAAAGGCAAAAAATACAATTTTCATAGACTTGCTATCTTGTATCTTGGTTGGAAGCTACAAGTAAGAGTTTATAACACAAAAAAAAAACCACAAACCAACAAATATGCCTTCCCAATAAAGTGTTCCTTAGACTAATTGCCTCATGTCTTCTGTGCCTCACTTAGTTGTTAACTGTAGGATTCAACCTTTTATAACAAGGAACTTATTACTTTAATAACAAAAATATGTGCCATCTACTGGAACAAGTTGTTCACTCTTGGATCTTTAAAGTATATGCTTATTATATTACCAATTGTCCAGAGCTCTTTTTACAGAGAACTTACAGTTTAAATAGCCCTTTTCAATCTTTATATACTGACATTTAGTTCTATGCTGAAAAAATAACATAATACTTCTTCCTCATTCTTTTCAAGGTGATCAGTTGTGGTGGTTTTTTATTGGAGGCACTCATAGAAGTGACTTTCTAAGAGAAGCTGCTAGCAGTTTCCTCCATGTCTGACAAAAAGACCAATCAGTAATTAGCTTCAAGAATTGACAATCCATTAAACCACTAAGAAAACTGCACATGCCTCTGTGAATACGCATATTAAAGATGAAAAAAGTGCAGGAGGGTTTCTTTCCCTTCCAGTCTGGCAGCAGGTAACAAGGCCGGCCTGGCCCCCGTCTTGGCCAGCCCAACCCAGGCAACCCCTGCCCCAAGGCAGCACCCCTTCCTGGGGAGCCCATTGGGCCCCATGGCTCTCAGGCAGGGGGAGGGCAGGCCGTGGGGCCGAGGCCAGGCTACAGCTCCCAACATCTTGCCACTACTGAGCCCTGCCTCGCCACCAGCCCAGGCCGAGCTGGGGTCCGCTGGGCCCCCGGAGCAGCCAGGGCCAGGGTGGCTCAGCCAAGATTCTGCCGCTGTTAGGGTTTGCCCGCAACCACTGGGCAGGGGAGGAGAAGCCATCAGCCCTGGTGTGTTGCTGCTGAGTTCTGGCCTAGCTGCTAAGATCCTAGCTGCCAAGATCCTAGCTCCTGATATCCTAGCTGCCCTCCCCACGCCAGCTGCAGCTCCAGCCGAAAGCTGCTGAGTTTGGCCGGGGTCAGGCACCCATCTGCAGGCCCCAGGTGAGATATTAACACTTTCAGTGCTTCAATCCTCCCTTGAGTGAGAGAAAAAACAGACTGCAGGCACGTAGAGGAACAACATGAAGACACCAAGGTCAGTGAAGAGGAAGTCAAGTCCCAGATGGGAGAGATGAGGAGATGCTGAAATCCTCTTGTAAAGCTATGGAGAAGAATGTAATTGACACATCAGACCCTTTTTTCCCTATAACTCATTGAAGAAATATGGGGGAATGGATTGTTCGAACCTGTGCTGAAGCAGGCAATGTTGAAATAGCTATGAATTTGAGAAGTTTGAACAGAGAGAAGAATTATGAAAACCCTGCGCCCCCAGGGAGAAAAGAAGATCTCTGTTCACAGAGTTGAAGATAATCTCAGAGACAGATAAAGAGAACCTTTGCTTTTGAACAGTTCATCCTTAAAACAGTCCCCCATAACTTGACAAGGCCCATAAACACAGCTGTGGGGAAAAACTGTGCAAAACAGGAGGAACTTCACGACTGCAGATTTTCTGGGTGGCTACTATTCGTGAAAATTAGAAACCATGAGAGATCTATTTTCTGGTGGAGCAGTCTCCATAAATTAACAAGAGGGACTTCTCTCCCTAGGTGAACTGAAGAAAGACTATTCTAGAAGTGATAAACTGACTGAATTGTTTCTGTATGTTGTTAGTGAGAAAGAAAAAATTGTAGGAGGGAGGAAAAGTGTTTTAAAGGTCTTATTCTGATTCTTAGTATTCTTTCTTTTAGTCACTGTTAATAAAGCTTTCTTCATACCCTTTTTAAGTTTTGAGCCTGCTTTGCCTTCCTCCTAATTCAATCTCTCACAGTAAAAAAATAAGTAAGCATATTCTGTTGAGTGCACTGGGGTTCGGCCAGCACTGAAAACTTCCAAATCAGTCTTGACCCAAAATTACTTAAATGTTAATCCTTTAAATAGCTCAAATAACAGGCTGATACTTTTAATAATCTGACTGTGATGGTTCCATACCACATTGAAAATTATGGTGATAGCATATAATTCAAAAGGTTCCCCTTGACAAAGTAAAAAAAAAATAAATTAAAAATTAAGATAAATAAAGGCACTTCCATAAAACAGCAAAAAGCTCCTTGACAGGGACCCCATCTGAAAGTCATTTACTCAGTTAATCAAAGGACACTGCAATTCTTTTTAAACTTTAAGACATTTATCTACCAATTATTTGAAGGAAATTATTACCAGGCGATTCCATCTAAGTCATCAACACCAAACTATAAATGAGTAACATGAGATGATTTACAAAATTATATGTTCCTATATTGTCTTAGTTTGCAAATGCAAGATGTGGCCGGTGGTGTATATTCTACTGCCATCTGTTAGAGATAGGGCAGTTATCTTCTATTAACTGGGCCACCTGTTAAAACCAGGTGGGGCAGTTTTCTTTATCTCTTCCAGAACCCATCTTCCCTCCAGGGAGATATCTTCTGTTAATGGGCCACAGAGTGTCACTGCATGACTGACAAAATTACATCAGTCCATTGTGAAATGCTTCACCCAGGGGGAAGAGCCAAGCATTCCTAACTGGATATAATCTGATATTTAGAACACCACAGGATTTCCCCTGGATTTCCAGAGCAGTCTTTTCCTATTGGATTGCCAGAGGAAGACCAAGCCCATCTATACCACCACTGGACCTTCAGAGGAAAATTACACCCTTCTACAGGATCACTGCTCCAACAGAACCTGTCACTCCAGGAGGACTGCAGCCATAATTTAATTGGACTGCTACCAACACCCTAACCCACAGGGTGTCAGGTTGTAATCTCACTCTGTCAGTGTTGTTTTGTATTACTGCATTTTTATTTTTATTTTTCCTGCTCCCATACCTTTGTCTGAGAGCCCCCTTAATTTCAAAGTTATAATAATTCGGAGGGAAGGGGGTTTATATTTTTCATTTCAAGAGAGGGTCCTGCCTTCCTTAGCAGACACCTGTCTTTTCAAACCAAGACATATATGAAGAGTATTTTTGCACTGCTGTTTCCAAGTGATAAGCTGTATCTGAACATCACTCCTCTGCTAGCTGAGATCTGCTTCTAGTTTGCAGCCTACACTTTTTTTATGGTCAGCTTATATATGTTTTTATTTCTGTTTTAAATTTCTCAAGTTACACAGGATTTCCTCCTCCTTGGGGTTTGTACTGTCATGAATTTACAGAAAGCAGTAGTACTCTCCCTCAGGCTCCATTTTTCAAGGTTAATTGAGCCAGAACAAGTACTCTGTAGAGATGCCTAAACTGATCTGGACAGCAAAAGCAGTTTAGCTCCATGAATACACCATCTACCTAGATCAATTTACCTTGTTTCTCACAGTAAACCTACATACTGAAATGTATGTGAAAACTTGTGAAAACTTGTGAAAAATGTGAAAACTTGTCCTTGTGAAAAAAATCTTTGCACTTATGCTCCAATTTCATTGTCCTTTTCTTTTTTTCTTTTTCAGGTGACACATTGATTCTATCCTTCATGAAAACACTTAGGGTTGGATGGTGAAAAGCTGCAGAGGTTTCACAAGATTCTCATCCAGCACTTTCCTTATCTCCCTATATACCATGAAAAAACTTCTGATCACAGTCATAGATTCACAGAATAATTGGGAAGGGACCTTAGATATCATCTAGTTCCAAAATCTCTGTCATGGGCACTGACACCTTCCATTATACCAGTTTGCTTTAAACCCCATTCAGCCCAGCCTTGAACACTTCCAGGGAAGGGGCAACTACAGCTTTTCTGGACAATCTGTGCCAGTTCCTCACCACCATCACAGCAAATAATATTTTCCTAATATCTAAACTTACTGTCAGTTTTAATCCTTTCCCCTTGCTCTGTCACTACATACTCTCGTAAACTGTTTCTCTCTATCTGTCTTGTATGCTCTCTTCAGGTACTGGATGGCCACAATGAGGTTACCCCAAAGCCAGACTGAGCAGTTCCAACTCCCCTAGTTTTTCCTCGTAAGAGAGATGTTCCATCCCTTTAATCATCTTGGTGGACTTGTCCCAATAGGTCCATGCCCCTTCTGGGCTGGAAACCTCAGACATGACTGGGGTCTCATGAGAGCAGAGTGGAGGGGCCAAATACTGTCCCTCAGCCTGCTGGACACACTGCTTTGTGCAGCCCAGGATGCAGCTGTCTTTTTCGGCAGATACATAGTACTACCTCAGTGATCATCACTCAGTGATCATCCAGTGATCGCCAGTGGTACACACAGCTTTCTTTCCTATTTTTAATCAACTCCTTCTTGGTGCAGAATTTTGCTGGTAAACCACAAGTTATGACTGTTCAACTTGTTCGAGAAAATATTCCTTTATTTCATTCTCCAGTCTTCAAAGCTATTCACAGCTTTCTATATTCTACCCCACTACCCCTTAGTGTCAGTTCTTCTCTACTTCCCACCATTGGTGCATTTTGCCTGGGCATGTTATTTTCTGTCCTACAAACCAGAGCTTTAGAACCAGTGCAATACCTCTCTTTGTCACACTCTCGTTGTTTTCTTTTCCCCTCTCAGATCTGAGTTCCTAGACTAATCCTCCTCCATTATTATTTTACTAATGATGTGACACATTCCTGTCAAAGAAAATTATCAGATTTGTATGGTATGATCTAAGTATAAGCACATGTGAGTCCTATTCCCTCCATTATTGATCACTACTGACTTTTGACAGAATTTTTTTAAAATTCTTTGATGCTTCTGATATTGTATTAATGGGCCTCTGTCCTGCGTTTCCAGCACCAGAGAGACTGATCAGAAACTGAGTGAGCCGAGCTGCAACCCGGGGAGGGGACTGTTCTGAGTTTGCCATTTTTTTTTTGGAGCAGTGAGAAGTTTTATTGTTTAATATTGTTTGGGTTCTATTGTTTAATAAACAGGTTTCTTTCCACTTTTTCTCCAAGGAGATATTTTCTCCCGAACCGGTTGTGGGGGGAGGGGCAATTGAATCTGCTTTTGTAGAGAAGCCCCTTTGGGGGTTATTTCCCAAACTTGCCCTAAACCAGGACAGCCTCCACTTGCCAATATTATTTTTTTTTTACTATACATTACTCTTAATTTCTTATTTTCCAGTCACATACTGGCACTCAGAAACAAAATATTTTTTAAAAGCACTTGCTGTGAGACCTGCAAGATATTCTACAAGTCTTGTCAGTTAGGATTGGGAGCTATTCTGTTTCAAACTATGAATGCACCTATCCTTTGAATGTTCCTTCTCTCTTGGTGTCCATAACCTTCACTCCATGCTACTAACTCTACACCATCTTGACTGTATCTCATTGGTGACCTTTAATATCACTATCTTCACTCACAGTGTGAAGATTGAATTCTTTTCTGATTGGAGTCAAATCTAATGTATTTACTTTTCCTGCCTCACTGCAAATTTTTAACAGAATTTTACATTATTCTCTCTTCATTTATATAAAAGAACCCCCACTCAGCTACTATTGGGGCACACGAGACAGATAGCACTTTGGACGTTATTGGCATAAAAGATTTGGTAATCAGGATGCCTTGGCAACAGCAAACAGAACTTTGAGGATTTAATCAAGACTAGTTGAAGATTACATCACGACTTACTGGAAAAGAAAATTACATCCAGACTTCTGCAAGCAGGAGATGTTGTAAAATGTATGCTTGTTTATGTGGCAATTAACCCAATCATAGTAAAACATTACTAGTCTTCCTCAAATAGTCTATAAGCATATGTAGTCTACAACAGGATTGGATTCTTCTGACCATCTCAGAGTCTCCCCATCTGTCTCATCATTGCCAATAATTGGTACCGCTATGTGAGGAAAATTACTGGCCTGGCTAGCAGCAGTCAGCGAGCCCCTGGAACTGATCATCATGCTGAGAGAACTGTGTTTGAGCCCACAATCACCCGTCTGCTGCAACATGACATGAAACCATGCTCACCCTTCTGGGCAAGCATGGCTCCTCCATCCCAAAGCACGACCTTAAGTCATTTTTACGATGGTTGTCACACATGCTCCCCAACACCACCCCTTCTTCTGTATTTACTCTCTGCTTCTGGGACAAGGTCAGTGTAAAGCTCTATGACCTGGCTACACTGTGTGGCCATGAGCCAGAGCTATGAATGCTTCCTGCTTAGAGGGCAGTCATGGATGCGATTAAAAAAGAGGGAGGGAGCAAGGAAGCCTGTGAGGGTACTGCTGAGATGGTCCCGGCAACCATGCCGGATTGAAATCTGCCCAGGTCCTGCTCCCCATCCTCTATCCTCATGCCCTCCCTGAGAAATGCCAGGGATAGAACCTGGTCGCCACCTCCAGTCCCACCGCCACACCACCAGCAATCCCAGAGCCACCAGATGCTTATCACTTATGTGGCAGACACTGACTCTAGCAATGGAGGGGAGCTAAAGCCTTTTGAGCCCAGCCCCAAAAAAGATCCGGACTTATTCCCTTTGGATATGCATAATAATTGGCTACAGATAAAAAAGAAAGCCCTTAAGGACAGGGACTTTGACACGGCAGCAGAAATCTTTTTGGCCCCCGTGTGACTTATCCTAAAGTGGGAAAATCCACAATGGGAGCCCATAGGTCACTTGGAAACTAAGGAACTGCACTGTACCATGGTGGAATATGGACTGGGGTCCCATTACTTTAGTAATTTCTTAAGAGCAACTTTTACTACTCACCTCATGACTCCTCATGACGTTAAGTTTTTGACAAATCTTTTGCTCACACCAACACAATAAGCAATATTTATGGTGCAATGGAAAAAAGGACTGGAGAGTTTAATTACATGCAAACCAAGCCCTGGCTGCCTTAACTATTGATCACCTTGTGGGGAAGGGGGTGTATACCAATCCCAATGGCCAAGCTGCCTTACCATGAGAAGCCCTGGAGGGTGTCACAGACACAGCTCATTTGGCATTCCTTAAGGTTTCTGAGCCAAAACCCCACAACAGTCCTTCATAAATATCAAACAAGGTCCACAAGAGTCCTATATGCAGTTTGTGGACAGATTAAAACAAACACTGGAGAGAAAAATGGATAATTATCAAGCAAGGGAAATTATACTCCTCAAATTGGCCATAGAAAATGCTAATGAAGACTATAAACACTTTTTGAAATCTCTGCTCTCTGAACCCACTTTACTCCAAATGTTGCAAACATGCAACCATGTGGGGACACTAAACACACCACAGCAACCACATATCAAGCCATGGGGCAAGGCATAGCGGACGCTTTTGCTGCCCTAATTAACCTCTGGAAAGCAGGTGGTTTGTTTTGGCTGTGGGGAATCTGGACACATTAAAAGAGACTGCCAAAAAGCACAAAACCCCCTATACCCTTGCTGTTGGAAAGGCCCTCACTTTGCTAGTCTGTGCCACTCTAAATTTCACCAGAATGGCCAGCCTTTACAGGGAAACTCATCTTGAAGTGTGGAGCAGCACCATGCAATGACACAAATCCCACAGCCAATGCAGCAACCAGGAGCAACTGTCAACTTCCAACTGGCCCTGCCCCCACCTGCCAGACCACTGAGCTACAACCAGACAACACAGACAATACAGGAATGGACCTGGCAACCTCCAGGATTAATCTGCTCATTTGCTTCCCACAGGAGTTTTCAGACCACCAGGACATCATATGCATGCTTTGCTTTTGGACTGATAATCCACTTCGATAACAGGGTTGGTTGTTCTCCCTGGGGCTATTGACTCTGACTCAGTCAGGGAAATAAAAATCATGGCTTGGAGACCCCAGCCACCCTGTGTAGTCCCAGCCGGGAGCAATAGTTCAACTCATACTTTTCCCAGCAGCACCCCTATCTGCACCCCCAATAGCTGAATAGAGGGAAGGGCAGGTTTGGTTCCACAGGGGCCCACAGATTTTTTTTACACAATCTATCACATTTCAGCATCCCACATACAACTGCAAAGTGACTCTGTCTCAGGGCCATCATTTTAACATAACTGGTTGATACTGGTGCAGATGTGACTGTTACCTCAAAAAGGCAATGGCCCAGTGATTGGCCATTAACGACTGTGCCTCAGGTACTCTCAGGGATGGGTGGGAATAGTCAAAGGTTGCAAAGCCAACACTTGGTGCAAATAACAGGGCCTGATGGCCAGATAGCCACAATTAAACCATTTGTGCTGTCAGTCTCCCTGGTTTTGTAGGGTGGAGATATGTTGACACAGTGGGGAATTTTTATGCATTCAGATTTTCATATGGGGGTCATTGGGATACATGGCACCCCCAAACTGACTTGGAAAACTTCTGACCCTGTGTGGGTGAACCAGTGGTCCCTGTCGTTAGATAAACTGCATGTATTACAAGAACTTGTACAGATACAGCTGGAAAAAGGGCATATAGTCCCATCTAATACCTCTTGGAATTCCCCTGTGTTTGTGATCAGAAAGTGATCTGGGGGGTGGAGGCATGACTTGTGGAAAAGAAATGAAGTAATAGAAGAAATGGGAGCCCTCCAACTGGAACTCCCTTCCCCTTCCATGATTCCCCAGAAACTGGCATTGATTGATTTAAAAGATTGTTTCTTTGATATTCTGCTGCATCCGGACAATGCACCAAAATTCAGCTTTTCTGTACTGAGCATTAATATGTAGGCACCACTGATTTAGTATCATTGGGTGGTATTACCCCAATGCATGTGCAACAGCCCCACTACTTGCCAATGGTATCTTGCAAGGACCCTAAGTCCAATCCGGGAATATATGCGTGATGTTCTATAGTATCATTATATGGATGATATTTTTATCTCTGCAGAAACTGTGATTTGAATGGAAGAAGCAGTGCTGGCTGTCAGCCAGGCTGTTACATCAGCAGGTCTGACCATTGCTTCTGAAAAGGTTCAAAGGACATCCCCATGGAAATATCTGGGCTGGTGCATAGGAATGCACTCTATTTCAGCACAACCTTTGCAAATTGTAACTGAAACCAAAACCCTGCATGATGCACAAAAATTGCCAGGGACCATAAACTGGGTTCGTCCCTTGCTTGGAATCTCAAATGTAGATTTGGAGCCATTGTTTGCCTTTTAAAGGGAGAGCCTGACTGC